TTGTCACTATGTCACTGAAACGGCGGAATATTTTGATGAAATTTTTGTATTTAGTACACTATATCCTGGTATAACAGTAGACTATATCCTGGAATAACATGTAGGCTACTGTTAGGCACCTAGGGACCCATTAAGTCTACATTCATTTTGAAGACTCAGTAGACATTTATTTTATATTTTACTACTAAGAAGAGCAACTTCTAGCGTACGGCGTACCCTACTAGCGCGCCGGTCGCCCACGTATGCGCACGCGCACGCGCTCGACTGGTTTTTCTGTAATAATTATCAAACTTTTTATGCTTCATTACATCATGATACTTTGAAGTTACCAGAGATATATTTTAAATTATGCTTTTCATCCGACTGCAAGACATTAGGTTGTATTGTATAATAATATCGAATTATTCTGATACTTTTAAGATATTATTTAAGAAAATAGCTCTGGTAACTCGATAATAGAAAGATGAGAAAAGAGAGTGGCTTTTTATGGGTGAATTTTTTGTTTGTTCAACATCAATAGTTCATTTATTTATTATCTGCACACAACCAGATAAACAAACAAAATTTGACAATAATAGTGCAGGATGTGTTGATATCTGTTCATAATATATATTAATATATATAAATCTTGCTCAATGAACAGTCAGTAAATGCCTTAATACTTTGAATGTCAAATTAGTAATGTAAGATACACACTGACAATTTTATTGTTATAGATAGTAAAAGATAATAAAACAACAATATGTTTCAATACGTTCAATCAATTTCAGATACACTTTGGTTTTTATTATACTTCCTAAGATTTACGTGAATATTTGACATCTATATATATAAAAGAAAGTCGTGTTAGTTACTTCGCTTATAACTCAAGAACGGCTGAACCGATTTAGCTGAAAATTGGCAGGGAGGTAGTTTAGAGCCAGGAGAAGGACATAGGATACTTTTTATCCCGTTCGACCGCGTTCCAATTTTTATGATATTTTAATTTTTGGATTTCTCTTAGTCCGGAATAGGTAAGTATTAAAACATATAATTAAAATGTGAGAAAGAAAGATTTTTTCTTTTTATATCTATTTAAAACGTACCTAGCGACGAACCCGAGCGAAGCGAGGGTGAGCCGCTAGTTTTAAATAAAACAATCTTTTTGGGGGTTTTTTGCGGATTTATTTGGATTTTTGGTTGCCGACGTTTCGAATGCTTTACCGCAATCATGATCATGGGAGAGACTAATGCCCGATTTCACCAACAACCCAAAAGCTACCACTTACGTATGGGACCCATCTAACCTAACTTAACCTAACCATGCTTATGGGATCCCATAAACTTAGGTGACTTTGGTCAAATCGGGCATAAGTCAGTTTTAGACGTCTCAAAACCACTTTGGTATCTAGTGTTATAGTTATATAATATTATTCACAACATTCAAATAGTCTGTAATCTGTTATGGTCCATTATTTTGTTATATTAAAAACAATGCTCAAAAATAATCGTATAATTTACTAGATCACATAATAATAGCACATCTGTGATATGTTATAATAGAAAAAACTAAACAATATTTCGCTTCAATCGCCATCATCAAACTAATATGCCACTTATTTCAGCGTTACAAATCTGACCTCGTTTCGTAATTACATATAATTTGTGTAAAAAATCAGAGTTCTATGTGGAATAGTCATCGTTTGAGATCCCGTAGAGATGTAGATCTTAAGACTAAGGAATAGAGTTGATATTTGAAAGACACATTGAAACAACTTTTGTGACTTCCAATCAAAATAATACATTATATTATTATCTTTCGTGACGAATTCATATTAAAAGTGTTACATTTGATATCGTATGTAATATGAAAAATAAAGGTTTCTTATTCAAGAAGATAGCTTTAAAATTTAAATACGATTATCCTACTAATATTGTAAATGCGAAAGTTTGTGAGGATGTATGGATGTCTGGTTGTATAGATGTAAGGATGTTTGTTACTCTTTCACACAAAAACGACTGAAGGGATTTTAATGTTACAACAATATAGCTCATACATAGCTCATAGCTCATACATCAGAATAACACATAGACTACTTTTTATCCCGGAAAAATGTACGGTTTCCGTGGGATAGATGTGTTTTTGTTTTTCTAGAAACGAACCCGAGCGAAACGAGGTTAGCCGCTAGTTAAGCTATAAAGTAAGGTCTCGAATAAACTATTTGTTTATTCAAGACCTAACTTTAAGGCTCTTTTCATTCCAAAGTAAGTTTTGTAAAACGATCTTAATGGAATATCCTTAGAATTATTTATGATAGTAAATAACTGAGAAAACATATGTAAGGTGGTTATTACAGTTATTTATACGTTATGTGGTGTAAAGTGTAAAACTTAAAATTTATGGGTATAAAAAATTGAACATAAAATACATACGTTTTTTTGAAAATTTATTATTAAAAAGAGTAATCAACAATAAAATTATATGTCGCTATAAATAATAAATATAAATTTTGATAATGATAATTAAAATTAAGGTCTTATAATAAACGAAGCTTAAAGTAATGAATTTAAACTAAGTCCTATGTCGTTTTCTGTCGCTAAGTACTTGATCTAATTAAAATTGTTGTTATTCCTCATCTCCATATAATTTAAGCCTAAACTAAACTTTCGATAATTAAAAAAACTGTAAAACAAAGCTTGTTTTAGTTTCCATATACAATAATATCATCTTGAGATGGAAACTGACTTTGACAGATATAGCGAGAGAGATACAAATATATCATATCTCAAGTGAGACAAGGACGGAATATAACACAAAGTTTTCTTTAATTATTTTATGCAATCAAAATTTAAACTTTACCATAATATATATATGGTCTATTTTCATATGAAACAATAAGCTACAAGTTATCTTCTATATTTTAAGATTTGTACATAGGATTTACAGCTCTATTGCTTTAAAGGTTAGGTTTAATTTTAAAGTAACAGTGAGGTAAGATACAAAATGGTAAAACTCGTATAACCGGTCGGACGCGGAGGCCCGTCCAGTCCTGCAGGGTCATCAACAAACATTCGAATGCTGTTATTGATACTTGGAATAATTGTATGCAACTTATACAAATGAGCATGATGTCACGTCTACTTGCATTACTTTTAATAAAAGTGAATTAAATTTAAAATTACGACGGACTTTATTTTATATATTAACTAGCGACTCACCCTCGTTTCGCTCGGATTCGTCCCTATTTACGTTTTAACGTTTTCTATAGATTTCTCAAAGATGAAATATTTTCCCGCAGTAAAAAGTATCCTATATATTGACCCGGATAATCAGCTATCACAATACCAAATTTCATCAAAATCTGTCCAGTAGTTTCCTCGTGATGCGGTAACAGACAGACAGACAGACAAAAATTCTAAAAAGTATAGATTCGGCCTCTATCGATAATAATGTCTATTTCAATAAGATTTTTCAAAAAATATGTAGGTAATGTACAGATTCGGCTTAGTTAGAATTTTATTATTTGTATAGATCACTAATATTTCTCGTACATTTAGGTCAGATTTTTTGATTAGTTTCCTTTACTTGGAGTGTGAAGAATCTTAGGACACCATAGTATGAATAGAACTAAAAGGTATCTAGAAGCCTAATTAGCTAGCTATGATTTTATTTTAATTTCTATAACATAATTCTATACAAACACGAAAAAGTATCATAATCCGTTAAGATGCTTTCAGACGGACAGAAAAAATTATAAAACTTAATTCAACTTCTTTTACATTTGAAATATCTAATAAGTTCTGTTATTCATAATAACCTTAAACAAGTTAGTTTTAGATACATATCAATAAGGTTAGCTTTAGGAAATATTTTTTATTAAATACTCTAATTTTTTTTTTACTAAAACGATATTATATTATGTGCACTTGTAATAAGCATAGTTTTGTCAACCCTATCTAATATTTGCTACTGACTTACGCTTTTTCTAACCTTAGTGGGAGTCACTACCTTACAAGCTAGCACCCACACAGGCCTGTACGACCTGACACACAAGTTACACACAAATAACCAAGCCAATATAAGCCGTAGCAACATAGTAAAACAGGCGGTTTTCGCTTAAAATATTAAAGCCAATAGCTGTTGCTATGAAACAAGTTAGCCCGAGGCGGTGTTTGTTAATTTCGTTTATTATTGCCTAGGGTTCGAAGACCTCAGCCTAAAACCCATCTATTTACCTATTTATTAATACTGAAATGATTAGAGTCGAGTCCATCGGGTAATTGCAATTTGATGCCATTCGGCTCTTATTTCTCAGAACTATTTATATAGAAATACCTATAACATGTATCAGTTATGTTAATATTGTATAATGTAAGTTTGTGTGTAGTTTTCTTTGTTACCTCTTCATGCTGTAATGGCTAAACGGATTTTAGTGAAATTCTGAATAGATGTAGTTTTTTACCATGGTTTTTGGGTAGTTTTTATCGAAGTAACCACGTAAATTGTGCCGTAGTCAAGAGTAGTATTATCATAAATTATAAAAATATTTCGAAGTTTCAGCGTACTTATGAAAGAAAGGATACTTTATTATCATAATTTACTTGTTTCAAATATGTACATGGACTCCTAAACAATAAAAGTGTATTTCAAATTGTACATATATACTTACATATGTGTATTTAATATATACAATATTAAATATACATATATAGAAAAAATATTTTAATTTCATTTATTTGTTTGTATGTCACATTATCTTTGAGCACTACCAACAGGGATCATTTTGTTACGCTATTTGTTGATAACAGACACGGATGGACAGACCTTTGCTAACTTACTATTATCTTCTTACTTTTGATTATTATATTTTTGTTATTTTATTTATTTTCATTAATAACACAAATACCTTGTTATATGGAAGCATTCATGCGGAATAAATTAAATTATTTAAGCAAACAATGCAATAAAATAGAAATTGTTAGAATAATATGAACGTCTTAGAATAACATAAGTTCACCTACCTCATCGCTTGTGCCTCAATTAAATCTTCTCCATATCTTCGTCTCTTTTCCTCGGATATGAGGAGCTGTGCTTGATTTTCCATTATGAAACTCCCTGAAACAAATGTTTTTATTACTTTATGACATATTTCTAGCCATGAAATACTACTGTAATGTACATTAGTATTTAATAAATTAGACAATACCAAAGAAACTATTTAAGACTATTTTGCGCCGCAGATGTCGTAACAGGTCAGAGTGTAGTGCGAGAGTACATCCTCTTTGCAGGAAGCCTAACGGCAAATTTACTAAGTGACTGGTGCATGCGCAATTTCACGCAGTGTTACAATATTTAAAAAAATATAAACTAATTTCTTTCAAATTTTAAAGTTTAATTTAAAATAAGTATATGTTTTTCTTGCAAAGAACCGCTATATTATTAAATTATGTACAATAGTTTTTAATAACTTGATTTGGTTATTAAAGTTATTAGAATTTTTTTTAAATTATAAGCTTTAAGAATTCTTGCATTTTATTTGTTAGCTGTCAGTCATTTTAATAGACCAAAAAAGCACGTACTTAAGTCGACGCATAACTAAAAAAAAAACATCAAATTCGGAGCGATGTTTCTTTTTTTATTGAATACAAGCGACTTACCCTCAGTTTGCTCAAATGCGTCCTAGGTATCTTTTTATATACATCTTATTGCTTTATTTAACGAATAGTTTTTCCGGGTTTCAATTAGAGTGATTTCTTATAGAAAATACATTTTTATCATGATCAAAATTAGCCCACAACACTTGGCGTTAAAGTACCTTCGTATTAGTGAAAGAATTTTTACAATCGGGTGAGTAGTTACAAAGATTACCCTCTACATACAAACGTATAAACTTACAAACTGTACCTCTTTATAATACTAGTGTAGATACCAGACAATATTAAATTTACCTCCAAATTAGTCCCACTACAATTTGAGAAGAAAATTAAGCTATTTTTGTTCTGAAGTTCATTTAGAACGTTTAAAATAAAAAAAAATCTCAAAACAAGTTTCTTGTGCATAACCCTATTTTAGCTTGTTTTTGTTACAAAAAACCTCGCAAAGTACGTAACCTTTTAAACTTATAGCTAGTTATCTTTTACGGTTAAAATATACCATAGTTTATGTAATAATTTAGTACCTAACACGACTTCACTAGTGTACGGAACCATCAACACCAAAACATACTCGAGCGTTACCAAAAACGGCAATGAAGCAAGACGTGATATAAAGAGGATACGTGGAAGGATGTGGTTTGCAAAATCAGGTTAGTGTGGTTTAAGTCGATTACTGTTTATTTCTTATCGTTCGGGTCTCGATGGAGCAACAGATGAGAGTTGACTGGAATGAATCACAAGTTCGATTTTGTTTTGAGGATTTTTTTGTTCTAATGAAAAGCTTAAAAATTATAATAAAACTAGTTTAACAATAATGTCAAAGTTTGAATGTATGTATATATAATATATGAATATTAATTAGTGTTTGTTTGTTACTTCTCCATGATTTTTATGAAATTTAGTACATAAATATAACCTAGAATTATATATAGGCTTCTGTATTAATGTTATTAATATTTACGAAAATAGCGTTACCTGTATTTAATAATATATAAAGCTAGGGACGAAGTTAGTCGCTAGTAAGTATTTTATAAATAGACAGAAGCAATGCTTCAAAGTATATAATACATACATTCAAAATATTCATATAAACTCCCGCGAGCAGTTCAATGAAAGAAATATTATATTTACTTAATTAAGTTATTTAACTAAGTTACAGACTTTTACATTTCGGTGTTGCGTGGAAGGAGTATCGCACTAAGAGAAAATATACACCACGTTAAAAAATCGTATATTAAGTGAAAGCAATACAAATATCCTAACGAAAGCCTTCGATATCGCTAGCTAGAAATAATCTATTCAAAAAGTTAATTAACGTAAAAGTTCGAGAACTTGCTAGGTTCTCTCAGACATGCAGGTTTCCTCACGATGTTTTCTTTCACCGTAAGGCAAGTGGTAATCATGTTAGAAATGATTCGCATATGAAAATAACAGAGGTGCGAGACCCGGGATTTAATACCGCTTCGGTTTCCCAAGTGAGTGCGTTACCACTGGGCTACGACTGCTTTTAGTTTTGATATACATACTTATTTTTGTACATATATTTTATACGAATATAGTATATGTCGACCATTAAGGGCTATATATACCTAAGTAGAAACTTTTTCTAAGAAAAACAAGAAGGGTAAAAGTTTTTTGGTTTCTAAAACAATGCAGCCGACTGATTTAATGCTCAAGGGGGTGTTCCTAACTTAACTAGTTTAACTTGCGGGAAACTTAGATAGCAACGCTCCTCGGGGGTTCGGGGGCTCGAAGACATGGCCTTTTAGTATCGCTTATAACTGTACGGTTCTTCAACAAAATTTCAGACGAATAAAATGTATAAAATATATAGAAAACTTTAGTTAACAAAAAAAGCCAAAATTCTGTGAATAATAAACTCGTTACCAAAAAATAACATTCTGAGAGCGGTTAAATACCATAAAAATACCATAAAAACTTGAGGTTATCTTCTAACCGATTATCAAAGCTTGTTTAATTTACAAGTGGTCTCGCGAAGGACTCGCGCAGGAGAGAGCGGGACGCGAACGACCGGTTACTGTCGTGTTTGGACATCACGTTATTACTTTTCTTTTTGTTTGCTTTTTAAGGAACGAGAGACTAGTTCAAGGCTACAAGTTTATTTTTAATCAAATCCTTATATTTCTCTAGTATTTTCACTAATATTATAAATTCGAAGATGTGTTTGTTTGTGTCTTTTTTGTAGTAGTCACGTTGATGCGAATTTTTAAAGACCTATTTTGTAGAACGGAGAGTGAAATAGGCTAGTCTATTGAAAAAGGTTACTTAGGGATGGTAATTTTGACAAAATAAAGTGCATCTCGCGCGCACAAACGCTCAGACAAACAGACAAACCGACAAACTGACAAAAATTCTAAAAATCATTGTTTTGGGCTCTATTGCGTTAATAAAGAAAATAATAGTTTTTCTCAAATATCTTCCATGTACAGACAGCGATCAAATACACTTTTATGATATGTGTAGATTGTTAGGTTTCTTTCTTCTGAATTTTTTAAAAAAGTAATATGTTGGTCTGCCAATATATCTAGTCATACTAAATAAAGGTTATATTAAATGATAAGTTACACATGGACATAGTCACGGGGCGACATCAGTATTAAGTAAATTAACACAAACCCTATAACATGCCAGCGTATATTTCATAGAAAGCAACGTCAGCAATAAACTTTTCCAACTTTGTTTACGATCACTACTACACAGTACACAGCCAGCGAGCGATGAAATAGTGTTATTGTGTAAACTTTTTATTTCTTTCCTTTGTTACACATGTACAGAACTGCCCATAATTATGTATAGTTACAGATCAAAAGCTCACTCTACATGTAGATTATAAAAGCTTTTAGATTAAAGTATATGCCAATTTTTTTAGTTTTTTTTTAAATTTTGTTAAAAATATATTGTTATTAAAATTTATAAAAACTAACAAAGTACAATATCGAAATAAATCAAACGAAGATTAAATTTATAGATTTATTTATTTATTTATTTATTTATTAGTAGCTTTTGAAGAGTTCCTTTATTCACCTTTTGATACCATCATCAGTTCAGCTCCATGGTGTCAATCGTACAAAGTTTAAATTTGATACAATAAAAAATAGGTTAAAATCGACTTTCAAGATTTGATTACAACTGAAGCCAATAAAAGTGTGCTAAAAATCAGTTCCCTGACATTTATTTTGAAAAGAAGGATCTTTTTTAATTTTAAATACTGCTTTTACAATTCGATTTCAGAAATAAGTTCTGTAACAAAAAATGCTAACAAAATATATCAATGTCTCAGAATCAGCTATGAAATATTTATTTAATTTCGTATAATAAAGCTTAAAATAAGATTATCTTTTAAACTATTATTGCGATTTAAAAAAAATTCATTAGTTAAAGCTACACTCTCCCTGAATGGGCGATTTTTATCGGCCACCAGAATCAGAAACTAAAACGTGTATCCTCATGTTTTTAAACTACCTCCCTTCAGTTACGTAACTGCCAGCAGTACATTCCATGTGTCAACATAAAAACCCCAAAAGAACATAATTCTCAATATTAATGCCTAAAGAAAACAAGAACAAAGTAAAAGAAAAGAAAGGTACCAACTTGAGAGGAATTACTCGTTTCCAGCGGCCGGATGGAGGAAACTGACTTCGAAAAATAAAACTGTCCATACAATATACATGTAATAAATACATTACTTGGTTAAGACGAAACACTTTCTAACTAGCTGTTGCCCTTGGGTTTGTTTACAATGGAAATTTAATAAAAAACATACCTATTAAGTATTCAAGAAGTAAACTTCGAGATAATGAGACGTATGTAGAATTTCAGGAGTGGGATAGTTATAGGATTCATTTATGATAATATTGATACCATGTTTAAATTTTTTTTTTATATTTCATTTACATATATTACTTAGCGTTATACATTCTCCGAATTTTAACGAAAAATATATAAGAAACAATGTATGTATTCTTTCTCATTCTCCCGCACGTAAAATCCTTTAGATGTACGTGTTTGTCTCTTTTTAATGTCGCTTTTTCGTTTCATCGAGTTTCAAATAACAACGGGGCTAAAGAAGATTTCACTTCAAAATTCTGAAAATTATTAAGTCGCTCTAACTTAAGCTTCATAAACATATTCGGGTACTCACGATCATTATTGAAGTGACACTTCCTTAGAATCGCTGTGATTTGAAATTCGATGTAACGAAAAAGCGTCACTAAAAAGAGACACGACAACGGTTGCCATGTTGCCATGGCAACCGTTGTTATTGTCTGACAAATGTATAATAACAAAAAAATAAATAAATATTAAGGACGAAATCTGTTGATTAGAAAATATTTAAGTATGTACTTACAATAATCTTTTTCACTATTTAGTACTTTTCGACGTGCACGAAATTCTCGAACACGTTCCGTTGAACTTTTTGCGGTCTTTTTAGCCTTGATTTCTTTATTTTTTTGCCGATAATCGCGACACCTTTCGGCATTAGTTTTCGGCATACCTACTTGGAAAATGTTTTTATTAAAATGATAAAGTTTTCATGTAAACGATACTAGTGAATAATACACCACGCTGGTTATGACGCCTTTTCTCAAGGTTTCGTAATACGCAGGCGCACACACACGTACAACGAACACAAGAGGCTACGAAGCACTGCACAAAGACGAGACCGCGAATATAAGAAACACTGCATACTGTCTCATTCTCTCGCACGATAAATCCTATAGACGTATGTGTTGAATAGATGAAACGGAAATGCGACACTAAAAAGAGACAAACATATAAATATGTAGGATTAAGCCGGCGAGAGAATGAGATAAAATACATTGCCATGTTGCCATGGTAGCCGTTGTTGTTGTCTGACTAATATATAATATTATATTCTTCCCTTAAATGATATTCTATAAATACATGATTGTAATATGTATAATATGCCAATAAAATACTAATATATTTAATTATTGATTTGTTTTAATTTAATTGCGATATTTGACAAAGAAGTTTTACTTTGACCATTTTTTTGTCTCCTTTTAATGTCGCTTTTTCGTTTCATCGAGTTTCAAATACCAACGGGTTCAAGACATTTTCACTTCAAAAATGTATACTTCAATATCTTTTTAATTATTATTAGGAATAATAAAAATAACAAAGAAGGATGCAAATTGCAACCAAACTCGCATTTCTTAGGATTAGTGAGTAAAGAAATATACTTTTTACTGTATGTTTACTGTATATATTAAAAATTAAATAATATTATAATTATGATGGTACGGTATAAAAGCACTGCGCCTTAACAAAGTAGGTGCCCGCGCCCGGTAGCGAACCCGTTCGACTTCGCTTTTTAGTTTTTATTCCTTTTTCTTTTCGTCGTCTTCCCGCAGAATTAATTGCCTGGTTTTATCATTTATCTCGTCCGGGATAAGGATGTGCACACAACGTGGCGAGATTGTACATTTTTAATATGTTTAAAAAATTTCATAAGTATATCAAATTAGTTAATTTCTATCAAATAGCTCTCTTTTAGGACATTTTAGGTATCGGTTTCATAATTAGCCTAGCTTCAAGGTACGATATTATTACCCAGTTAGGCTTCAAACCAAGCTGGAACGAGTCTCTGGATATATTTTTTTAAATGTTATGTAAATTTTCCTTATTTGATTATGCCATATCATTAGGACTACAAAACTCACATTGCCTTATTAATTAAAAATGTTTTGCGGAAAATACATCAAATAAATAAAATATAGCTTTCATTGTATATTTTCATTGTTTATGATTGTACAACTGTCTTTATCTCATCTCAGTCATATTGTACTTTTTCGTACAACCATTAATTTCAATTCGAAAGCCGCCATAAAAGTAACCACTTGTACATTGCTCTAAACATGTTCATTTGCTATATACTAGTGTGAACTTTAGTGTTTACTTGTTTATGTTTATGTTTTATAAAAAAATAATAAACATTTATGAATGTATCCCATTAATATTATAAATGCGAATGTTTGGATGAATGTTTGTTACTCAATCACGCCAGAACGACTGAACGGATCTGAATGTTTAGCACAGAGATAGATTATAGTCTGGAATAGAACATAGGTTTATTTTTTAACCCGGAAAAATATACGGTTCTCGAGGGATAAATTTGTATTTTTTCACTAGGGTCGAACCTGAGCAAAGTGAGGGTGAGTCGCTAGTAATATATATGTATTTTAAATATCTTATGGTTTTCAAATAAATCTTTATTGGGGTGGAAAAACGAGCAGTTTTTAAACATCACGTAATATGTAGTAATTTTATCAAAATAAAAGATTTTAATGAATGTCTATTATAATTTTATAGTAAAACCCCACTTAAAAATGCTTATATACATATTGACTTTGAAATTTTGATGATAATGTTGCAACCCAGAATGAGTAATATCCTATATGTAAGTAAAACAACGACATAGATACAGGTGTTTTACCCATAAAACACTATAAATTATAGCCAGAACATCCCTTAAAAAGTTTATATAAATATATATATATATATAAAAATTAATAAATATTTTATTATTATGGTCCAGAAACTGTAAAACCTACATAATTTGTTAGAATATGTAAACGTTGTTAATCTATGTATCCAAATTATTAGTCTATGTTTACTCTAGGAATATTGTTGTACTCTGTAGTTTATGGATGTAAAAAAAAAAGAAGATGTCGGATTATTAGAAATACAGGTGTTGGTTTGAATAATGTCTTTTAATTAAAGTGAGTTGCGTAGGGGCCTTACAGCCTAAATATATCAAATTTTATATAAATTCTCACATCTACGGACCTCTGGTATCTGATCATGTGTGTGATAAAATAATAAATAAAAACTGATGTTCTGTTTTCGTGCCGTTTGAAGAAATGAAAATTGTTAAAATGGACGCCATGACCTAGCACTTTCGGCCCCGAGAAATATTTTACATATGATACTCTTTACTGAGAAACAAAAAGGATTATATGTTTGAAAGTTTGAATTCATTCTATATATATATTAAAAATGTCAAGTTTAGAAGTTTTTCCACAACTTTGTGAAGGGAGTAAGTTTAGTAATTGGAAGTTCAGGTTAAACATTTTATTTGAAGAAAAAGGTATTGAGTATTTATTAAATGGAAAGAAAGACGAAAATTTGAAAAAAGAGACGTATAAAAAGGACGATGCTAAGGGAAGATTGATAATTATAAATTGCTTAAACGATAAATTCTTGGAAGTAGTAAAGCCAGCGACCAGCGCATTAGAAATGTTGAAACTATTAAGTGCAGTGTTTGAAAGGAGAAGCACATTTAACAAAGTGTTACTTAGAAAGAAACTTATAACTTTAAAACATCAATTCTCGAATAAACTTCAGGATCATTTAATTAACTTTGAAAATATAATTAACGAATTAGAAGGTGGAGGTGCAAAGATAGAGGAGTTAGATAAGGTGGAGCACCTGTTTATAACACTACCAAAGGAGTATGATACCATAATAAATACGTTGGAATCCCTCGACAAGGAATTAAATTTTGAGTTTGTAAAATGTAGATTACTCGATTTAGAAAATAAATTAAAAGAAAATAGTATTGAGGAGAAAACTGAAAATATGTTTATTACAAACACAGCCATTATTTGCTTTAAATGTAAACATAGAGGACACAAATCATTTCAGTGCAATTTAAATAATAATATGACTAATAACAATGATATGAAGAATTTTATCACTCATAATAATAGAGAAAGTAATAGAGGAAGTGTACTCAACAATAAATTTTTTAACAGAGGATTTAATAACAATTATAATAGAGGAAGAGGTTATAATAATAATTATATGAATAGTGGTCACAGATATAATAATAACTACACGCGTCAAGTAAGAGGTTACAATAATAATTATATGAATAAAGGAAGAGGACGGCACCATAATTTTTCTAGACAAGCGAACACCACAGAAGAATTTAATTTACATGAGGAAAATAAAAGCACATTTGTGGCATTAACTTTGGAAAATGAATTTAAAGAAAGCAATGACATCTTATTTATAATAGACTCTGGGGCAACGCATCATTTTATCCAAGAAAAATATGAGAAGTACATGTATGACATTCAATTACTAGATGAGCCGATGAAGATTAAAATAGCCAATGGTCAATTTTTAATTGCTAACAAAAAAGGAAAATTAGAAGGAATTTACAAGAATAAAATTATAGTTATCAATGGAATAATAGTACCAGAAATTTCACATAATTTGATATCAGTTTCTAAATTAATGGAGAAGGGTATGACAATAATAATTAAACAAGAACAAATGAAAATATATACTAATGATGCACATAGTAATACACACCATATTTATAAAGAAGGAAAACTATTTACTATGAGGATGCTAATCAAACAAAATGCACAGTGCAATCAATCTATAGACAAAAATGATATTTGGCATAAAAGACTTGGACATTTAAATAGAAAAAGCTTACAATTAATGGACTTACCTTTTAGTGATAAAATATGTAATGAATGCATGATAAACAAAAGTACCAGAAAACCATTTTATCCTGTAACAAAACCTCAATCACATGCTATAGGTGATCTAATCCACTCTGATATAGCAGGTCCAATGAAAACTACTACCAATGAAGGAGAAAGATACTATCAAACTATCATAGATGACTACTCACATTTTACATTTACATATTTGTTGAAAAATAAATCAGAAGCAGCGCAAAATTTAATTGATTACATAAAAATAATAAAAACTGAAAAAGGAATAAGAGTAAAGAAAATAAGATGTGATAATGGAGGAGAGTACTGTTCAGACTATTTAAAAGATTTTTGTCAAAATAAAGGAATACAAATTGAATATAGTTTACCATATAGCCCGCAAATGAATGGAAAATCTGAAAGGATGAATCGCACAATATTAGATAAAGCAAGAACAATGATGAGTGAGTCTAACTTGCCCAAACACTTATGGGGACAAGCAGTTTTGACAGCTACATTCTTAATTAATCGTTCACCATCAAAAGCAATATTTAATGATATACCTGCAATACGATTTGAACGAGATATGAAGTTAGATGATATAAAAATATTTGGCTGCAAAGCTTGGGCAGTAATTTTACCTAGAGCAAATAAATTTGAAAACAGAGCTGTAGCAACAAGAATGATTGGATATGCGAAAAATGGATGGAAACTTTGGATTCCAGATACTGACAAAATTATAGTGTCAAGAGATGTCACCTTTGATGAAACGGATATTAAATATAATAAAGAAGTGAATACAAAAGAAGAGGAAAATAGAATAAGATATAAAATTGTGAGAAATGAAGAAGATCCGGATGTACAATATGATAATTCACAAAAAACAATACAAGAGCAAAATGAAACAGATACAGTAGAGCCAGTGACAACTACTAGAAGTGGGAGACAAATTAAAGTTCCAGACTATCTTAATAACTACCATCTTAATTTTCAGGCATATTGTTTTTACAGCGAAG